TCAGTACATTGATGACAGTATCTTAGCTACGTGTAACTAACTAACTGATACTACAAACACATGTACCTGCATATGCCACGTGGCAATCTTGGCCTACTAAACTTCTATTTTACTGGAATTACATCACATTCCCCCCTTTGATGCTTCTGATATAAAATAATTCCAGATGCATCATCAATCATCATCAATGCCAAAACCTCTCAAGTAGCCATGAACCAGAACAGACCTCGTAAGCATCTTTAGCATATTCTTTCAGCATTCCCCATTCTGAATATGCTCTCTTTTGGCTAAAGGTTCATATCTACAGACAGCCATAACATGGGCAGCTGTCTTCCTCTCAATAGTGCTGTCTATAACACTTCGTATGGAACTAACCACTAATGGAATTAAGCAGGGCAGAAAGAGACATAAAAATATAATAAATACTACTCCTCCTACGAATGCCTTAATCCCTCCAAGCTGATCATACCAACTTCCAAACCAACTACTTGGGTTATACCCACTCCAGACCTTAGTAATTACATGCACAAGTTTAACCATGTGACTGGTAAATTCAGCCACTGCCTGCCCTTCATCGTCTATGTGCAGACAACAGTTACTTAGATTAAACTTCCCGCACACACCTCCTTCTACTGCTAATAAGTAGTCCAGAGCTAATCTATTTTGATAGATGGCTGATCTCATTCAAGTATTATGTTTAGCTAGGAGATTGAGCGCTTGTGCTGTCTCATTGGTGATGATCTCACAAAATGACACAAAAAGGTACGGATAGTATTAGACTAGTGACAGTTGCAGAAGAGGAATCAGTTAGGAGCTATTAACAGTTTAATTAATACGCTTTTATGAAGAAGTGGGTTTTTAATGATTTTTGAAGGAGTGGAGACTGGGTGAGCATCTAATGGAGGAGGGAACCGAGTTCCACAGGAATGGTGCAGCCCTCGAGAAATCTTGAAGGCGAGCATCAGAGGTGGGAGTACGGACAGAAGATAGACATAAGTCTTCAGCAGATCGTAAGGGCCTAGACGGGACATACTTGTGTATAAGGGAGGATAGATAGGTGGGAGCAGCATTATGTAGAGATTTGAAAGCAAGAACCAGAATTTTAAATTGAGCTCTATATTTTATAGGAAGCCAATGTAGGGACTGACAGAAGGGTGAGGCATGGGAGGTGCGGCGGACAGGAAGATGAGCCTTGCCGCTGCATTCATTATGGACTGTAACGGCGCAAGTTGGGAGCACGTAAGACCACTGAGAAGCGGATTACAGTAGTCAAGGCGAGAAAGGACAGTGGAATGGACCAACACCTTAGTCACATCTGGCGTTAAGTAGGGGCGGATGCGCGCAATGTTTTTGAGATGGAAATGACAGGATTTGGCGATAGATTGAACATGAGGCTTGAAGGAGAGGTCAGAGTCAAAGAGAACACCTAGGCAGCGAGCCTGCGTGGTGGAGCTGATGGTAGTACCGTTGACTTGGAGGGAGACAGACACAAGAGTAACAACACTTGAGGGAGGAAAGACCAGAATTTCAGTTTTGGTCAAGTTTAGTTTAAGGAAGTGGGCAGCCATCCAGTTAGAAACAGCAGAGAGGCAGTCAGAGACACTAGTCAAGAGTGACGGGGAGAGATCAGGAGAGGACAGGTAGATTTGCGTGTCATCTGATCATGATATTGGAAGCCAAAGGAGCTAATGAGTTTACCAAGGGAGGCAGTATAGATGGAGAACAGTAGGGGACCAAGGACTGAACAGAGAGGAGTTGGGGAGAAGAAGTGGAGCCAGAGAAAGAAACACTGAAAGAGTGCTGGGAGAGGTAGGAGGAGAGAGCAATATCTTGTAGACTGATGTTGCAGAGGATGAGAAGAATCTGTTGATGATCAACAGTGTCAAAAGCCGCAGACAGGTCAAGGAGAATTAGGATAGAGTAGTGACCATGAGATTTTGCAGCGAGTAGATCATTGGATACTTTGGTCAGTGCCGTTTCCACAGAGTGCTTAGCGCGGAAACCAGACGGAAGTGGGTCTAGCAGAGAGTTGGACTCGAGGAAGTCTGTCAATCTCGCATACACAATTTTTTCAAGGATCTTGGATGCAAAAGAGATTGAGAATTTTAGTGAGAGGTGGAGAAAGAGAAGAAGACAGAGTACGGATCAGATGCAAGGGAATTGGATCTAGGGAGCAGGTGGTGGGGCGGGAGGACTGGAGCAGAGCAGAAACCTCTTCCAATGTAGCGGGTGTGAATGAACATAGAACAGCAGAGGGAGTGAAGTTAGGGGAAGTATTGTAAGGGGAAGAAGAAAGATGAGAGATCTCTTCTCTGATTGTAGAGATCTTGTCAGTGAATTGAGTTGCAAAGTCTGAGGCGGTCAAGTTAGTAGGTGGATGAGGAACAGCAGGTCGAAGAAGAGAGTTAAAAGTGTGAAATAGTCGTTTGGGTTCGCGGGAGAGTGTGGTTATGAGGGTATTGAAGTAATTAACTTTTGCAAAGGAAAGAGCCAAGCTGTATGAGCTCAGCATAAATTTATAGTGGAGAAAGTCAGATGCACAGTGAGACGTTCTCCAACAGCGTTCAACAGTTCTGGAGCATTTTTGGACGTATCGAGTGAGCTTGGTGGGCCAGGGTGTGCCAGGGACATAAATATTTGTCATTGGACCCATAAGTTCGTTCCCACTTTAGATTACCACATACATTCCAAGGTTTTCCACTACCCGAGATCGCCTTACATGCATCAAATAGTAGAATACCCGTAGAATGTATGGTATTTATCACCGTCCTATTTATCAAGGTCCCATGAAAGTTACTATTCCAAATTACCAACCAAGTTGTACGGGGTTGGAATTGGGGATCAAAACATTTAGGCTCTCCTACTGCTGGGTGACACACACTGTAATCAATATCTAAATATCTACATTTAGATACAGATCCCTTACATTCATACTGTGAGTGCCAAATAAGAGTTTGGGATATTTGATTACCTGTTTTTGTAGTCTTAATGCAACTATCACAGTTCTGTAAGTCTGTACTCTTACCTTCCTGGAAATTTATAACAATGCATAAACACACAATAAAATTCATTATTCCTGAAATCCTCATTCTTATCTCTTCGACCGTGCGACGGCACATTAGCTTCCCGACTGTGAGGGCTGCAAGGATTGGCGTTCTTCTGATCCTCACTTTCCTTCACACAGATCTCTTCGAGACACTCTGGCTTATGACACGTAGGCAGATGGTCAGGCTTTATTATAGCCGTCAAAACACCTACTTGCTGGTCTTGAAATAGTACTTTCAACCACGATGTCCCAATACTTCGCACTCACTCCGACTGAGTTACACGCTTTAACCAGATCTTGCAAGGATTTTCAGGGTCTAGAGTGGCTTGCCAAGAGTCTGCCACATTAGCTTCTCGACTGTGAGGGCTGCAAGGATTGGCGTTCTTCTGATCCTCACTTTCCTTCACACAGATCTCTTCGAGACACTCTGGCTTATGACACGTAGGCAGATGGTCAGGCTTTATTATAGCCGTCAAAACACCTACTTGCTGGTCTTGAAATAGTACTTTCAACCACGATGTCCCAATACTTCGCACTCACTCCGACTGAGTTACACGCTTTAACCAGATCTTGCAAGGATTTTCAGGGTCTAGAGTGGCTTGCCAAGAGTCTGCCGCTGGTTTAACCCTAGAGTGATGAATCCACGGAGTCACTTCTGCCACCTTTACAGCTGTTGGAGTGGACAAAAGAACAACATAAGGACCTCTCCATTTCGGACCTAATGGAATACTATTCCATTCTTTTATCCACATTTGATCTCCTGGATGGTAAGAATGAACAGGTGGATATATGTTCACAGGTAATCTATCTTGTACCAATTTCTGTACTTCCTCCATAGTTCTACCCAACTCTACAACCTACTGCCGAGTAATTTCTTCACCCAACTGACTCAAATCCCCCCTTAGATTACTGAATATAAGAGGTGGACGCCCATACATAATTTCAAAAGGAGACAGACCCATTCTCCTGGTAGGAGTACTGCGTATGCGCAACAGAGCTATTGGCAAAAGAACATTCCACTTAAGCTGGGTCTCTTGCAGGGCTGGGAAGAAAATTCGGCCCGGGCATTTTTTAATTACAGCGGCCCACTAAAAAGGGGGCGGGGCCAGATAGGGTGTGTTTTGTCATCACCAATGACAAGCACGCCCCATCACAAAGTGAGCATGTTGGTTCAATGCTCTTCCAGGGTAGACCATGCGCAGAGCTCTGCTGAAGAGCTCTGGCATGAGAAAAATACCCTGTATTTGTTCTGCACAGCGCAAGCAAATTTAATAACATGCTTGCACTGTGTTTGCTTGAAATTTGTCTCTGGTGTCTCCATAGTTGGGATACCAGGAGACAAAAATGCCAGGAAAGCATATTGCGCAGTGTGTGTGAGGGTGCTCTGTGTGTGTGTGTGTGTGTGTGTGTGTAAGGGGTGTAGTGTGTGTGTGAGTGATGGGTGCTGCGTTTGCGTGAGGGTGCTATGTGGGTAAGGGTGCTGTGTGTGTGATGGGTGCAGTGTGTGTGTGCTGTGTGTGAGTGGGTGCTGTGTTTGCATGAGGGTGCTATGTGCATGTGAGGAAGCTGTGTGTGAGAGTGCAGTGTATGCATGTGAGGAAGCTGTGAGTGTCAGGGGTGCAGTGTGTGTAAGTGAGGGTGTGTGATGTGCGTGTCAGGGGTGCAGTGTGTGTGTGAGGGTGCTGTGAGTGTCAGGGGTGCAGTGTGTGTGCTGTGCGTGTCAGGGGTGCAATGTGTGTGTGTGAGGGTGCTGTGAGTGTTAGGGGTGCATTTTGTGTGTGCTGTGAGTGTCAGACGTGTAGTGTGTGAGTGAGGGTGCTGTGAGTGTCAGGGGTGCAGTGCGTGTCAGGGGTGCAGTGTGTGTGTGTGAGGGTGCTGTGAGTGTCAAGGGTGCAGTGTGTGTGCTGTGAGTGTCAGGGGTGCAGTGTGTGTGAGGGTGCTGTGAGTGTCAGGGGTGCTGTGTGTGTGCTGTGTGTGTCAGGGGTGCAGTGTGTGTGTGTGAGGGTGCTGTGAGTGTTAGAGGTGCATTTTGTTTGTGCTGTGTCAGACGTGCAGTGTGTGTGAGGGTGCTGAGAGTGTCAGGGGTGCAGTGTGTGTGCTGTGTGTGTCAGGGGTGCAGTGTGTGTGTGTGAGGGTGCTCTGAGTGTTAGGGGTGCATTTTGTTTGTGCTGTGTCAGATGTGCAGTGTGTGTGTGAGGGTGCTGTGCGTGTCAGGGGTGCAGTGTGTGTGTGAGGGTGCTGTGAGTGTCAGACGTGCAGTGTGTGTGCTGTGAGGGTCAGACGTGCAGTGTGTGTGTGAGGGTGCTGTGAGGGTCAGACGTGCAGTGTGTGTGCTGTGAGGGTCAGATGTGCAGTGTGTGTGTGAGGGTGCTGTGCGTGTCAGGGGTGCAGTGTGTGAGGGTGCTGTGCGTGTCAGGGGTGCAGTGTGTGAGGGTGCTGTGCGTGTCAGGGGTGCAGTGTGTGTGAGTGTCAGGGGTGCAGTGTGTGTGTGTGTGTGTGAGTGTGAGGGGTGCAGTGTGTTTGTGTGAGTGTCAGGGGTGCAGTGTGTGAGTGTCAGGGGTGCAGTGTGTGTGTGTGAGTGAGGGTGCTGGGAGTGTTATGTGCCCTGCTGATATCCCCCCTCCCTGCTTACCTTATGCCTGGAAGGGGGGATCCTGCTACTCCTGCTGCCATCCCTGGTGGTCCAAGTGGTGAGTGAACTCTAGCCTGTTGGGCTAGAGTTCACTCTCGCCATGGCAACGCTCCGAATCTCGCGAGAGGAACCCAGCGGAGCTGTAAGTTAAAGCTCCGCTGGGTTCCTCTCCTGGCAGGCTGGCTCCCTCCCTCTCTCCCCCTCTCTCCCCCTCTCTGATCTCCCCACCGGCCCGCTGTAGACTACTGCAGGGCCGGCGTTGAGATAGCGCCGGCCCTGCAAAGACCGGCAGGAGAGATCCTGTGATCTCCCTGCCGGCCTCGGCCCCACGGCCACCGCAGCCCACCGGGCATTTGCCCGGTGTGCCCGATGGCCAGTCCGGGCCTGGTCTCTTGACACATTTTTGCCAACTGGGTCTATAGTTTTGTTCATCCTTTCCACCTTCCCAGAACTCTGAGGTCTATATGCTGTATGAAGTTTCCACTTAATACCAAGCATATGAGTCAGTTGTTGTAGGCACTGATGAATAAAGGCTGGGCCATTATCTGATCCTATAGAGCACGGGAGTCCATATCTGGGTATGACTTCTCGCAACAGGAATCGTACAACTTCTCCTGCTTTTTCCGTACAGGTTGGACAAGCTTCTACCCAATCTGAGTAGGTACACACAGCTACCAACAGGTAACGATATCCTCCAGATTTAGGCATTACTGTATAGTCTATTTGCAGATCTGACATGGGGAGTCCTCCCATATACTGGACCCCAGGAGGTTCTGCATTGTTCTTTGCACACAGAACACATCTTTGAACAATGGCTTGCGTAAGATTGGATAATCTTGGTATATAGAAATGTTTCCTAAGAGATTCTTCCATACTGTCTCTTCCTGTATGTGTGCCATTGTGGAAGTTCTGAACAATCTCTATAGCCAGACATGTCAGAATGACTATTCTTCCATCTTCTAACTGATACCAATTGTTCTCCAAATATTTTCCCGCTTAAGTCTTCAACCACTCCATCTCTTGAGTTGTATAAATCGGGGTCCATTGAGACAGAGGGGCCGGCGCAAGGGCAGCAACATACCCCATATATTCCTCCTGTCCAGATTCAGCAGCACGCTTAGCCACACTATCTGCCATGCGATTTCCTTTTACCACATCACTATCGCCTCTCAGATGTGCTCTACAATGTATAATACCGACCTCCTTTGGCTCCCATACTGCTTCCAATAGTTGAAGTATTTCAGCTGCATACTTGATTTCTTTCCCTTCTGAATTCAACAACCCTCTTTCTTTATACAAGGCTCCATGGGCATGAGTGGTTAAAAATGCATATTTAGAATCAGTATATATGTTCACCTTCAACCCTTCAGCCAATTGCAAGGCCTGTGTCAGTGCAATCAATTCTGCCTTCTGTGCTGATGTCCCTTTTGACAGTGGCCGTGCCTCTATCACCTTGTCTATAGTTGTTACTGCATATCCTGCATAGCGAATTCTTTCTTTCACATAGCTACTACCATCCGTATAATACTGTACATCCGGGTTCTGGATGGGAAAATCATGAAGGTCCGGTCGGCTTGAAAACACTTCATCCATTATCTCCAAACAATCATGTTGACTTTCAATAGGTTGTGGCAAAAACGTAGCTGGATTCAGGGTATTAACAGTTTCAAGGTGTACTCTTGGATTTTCGCATAGCATGGCTTGATATTTGTCATTCAGGTATTGCTGAACCAATGATTACCTTTGTAATCCAGCAGCAATTCGAAGACAAAAGAAAGCATCCTTGAGGTCTTAGACTGTAAAGTAAGTTGCCCCACCTAGTATCAACTGCTCTTAAATCTTGTACAGGACGATACTCATCTGATCCTGGCTTCTGAACAGGTAACAATGGAGTATTCCAGGGGGAAGTACAGAATTTTAGGATACCATACCTTACGAACTTATCCAAGTAGGTCTGTATGTTTCTCTTTGCCTTTTGAGGTATGTGGTACTGTCGTAGACTCACGGGATAAGCCCCAAGCTTCAACTCAATATGTATAGGTGGAATATTATGGGCAAGCCCTGGTGGATTATTTTCTGCCCATACTCCTGGAATGTCAAATAGGGATTCATCACTCTTAGGGTTTACACTTGTCATTATCGTGTAGAAGCGCCATTCTTCTTCCCTTGGCACCGATATCGCCATTATTCCCGATGATCCATTAAACTTCAGGGATGTCGCTCCATTGGGTAAAAAGGTTATCTGGGCTTGAAGCTTTGATAATAAATCTCACCCTAGAAGTTGGATTGGACACTCAGGCATATATAGGAATTGGTGCTTCACCAAATGGCCTCCCAGAATGCAAGTGCGACTCTTAAGAACCGGTCTAGCAGCGCTCTTCCCAGTTGCTCCTATTACTGTTATGGTTTTTTCTGAAGGAGGAGCAACTAATTTGGTCACCACGGAATGTTCAGCCCCAGTATCAATCATAAAAGGACTTCTCTTTCCCTCTATTGCTATAGCGACCATAGGCTCCGCTCGGTCAAGGGGGATGGAGCCCGGTCGGCATCAATAGTCCTCCATAACAGTGTCAGTCAGACCCACAAAATCCCTATCCTCTCTTTCTCTAGGTCTCTGCGTGGGTGGATAATATCTGTCCCCTTGAACACTTCCTCTATTATTCCCACTATTTCCTCCAAAACTTCCTCTTCTTCTGCCTCTATAGTTACCACCATGACCTCCCCACACTCTTCTCTCTTCTTGTCGGTCATTTTCATAATGCTCTCTCTGTGGGCATTCATTCCTCCAATGTCCTTCCTCTCTCAGTATGCACACTGATTCCTGCTTAGTGGTCCCCTACTCAACCTATTTTCAACTGCTCTATTCACCTCCCTTCCCTGTCTCTCTACACTTGTAATAGCTACCACTAGCATATCTGCCTTCTTCCTCATTTTACGTTCTTCTTCCCTCTTTGTCTCTGTTTCTCTATTCATGTATACTTTATTCGCAATCTCCATCAACTGTGATGTAGACATCCCTACAAATCCCTCTAATTTCTGTAATTTCCTTTTAATATCACCTTGGGCCTGTCTGACAAAGGCTGAGTTAACCATTCAGGAATTCTCAGGAGCCTCTGGATTAAAAGGAGTATACAATCTGTATGCCTCCAGTAATCTTTCATAAAAGGCACTAGGTGACTCGTCAGCTTTCTGCAACACCTCCCTCCTGCCTTCATGCCAGCAATAATGGCTTCCCTATAAGCTCTTAAATGGGGCATATCAGCGCCATTAATATTCCAGTTCGGATCCACATTCGGGTAATGGGCTGCAGCCCATGCAGCCTGATTGGCCTGGTTCTGAACACGGGCCGCTTCCTCAAGCGCTTTAATAGCCACTTGATTAATCCAAGTCCTTTCCTCATTGTTAAATAAAGTCAATAGTAATTGCTGGCAATCAGCCCAAGTAGGATTGTGGGTTTGTATGATTGAGGCAACCAAATCTGTCATGGCTTGAGGCTTATCGGTATATGAAGAGTTATGTGTCTTCCAATTAAATAAGTCAGTCGTAGTGAAGGGAACATAGACAAATACAGGGTCTGCATGTTGCAATTGACCATTATCGTCAACGTGTGTTGGGCCCGGTTAAGTCGGAGAGGCATTTGGTAATGTCGGGGTTGGAGGGTACCAGTCATCTGTCGGGTTAATACAGGGCTTCGGTGAGGTTGTTTAGTATTAAGTTCTGGTCTAGGGGTAGTGAGACAAGGAGATGGGGATAACTGATTTTTACTAAACGAAAGGTCAGTTAACAGGATATTCCGGGCCAGGCTGGGAGGAGCCTGACCAGGAACCAGAAATGACGTCCGTTCCGGCTATGCAGAACTAATGGAGGTAGGTACCGGAAGGGGAGGGCTTAAGGCAAATGGGCTGGGCTCTGAGCTGGATGAATGAGTGGGAGGAGACACTAGGGTGGCAACACCTCCTCTAGCCTTGGAGGAGGAGTAAGGGGGTGGTAGAGAAAGCTCAGACTCAGTGGGCGTATCTAAAATGGGCGGAGTTGTGGCCCTGATGGACCGGCGAGTCCTGGCCACCATGAGGCGACATTGCTCCTCGTGGCATACTTTAATCCATTTGGGCAATCCTTCCACAACCTGTTTCCAACAATCAATGTACGGAAACTGATCGTAAAATTCAGGCCTACTAGATACAGCCACGTGTACACGCTGCACTAGGTTTGGATCAAGACTACCACGTGGAGGCCATGCAGTCACCAAAATAGGCCATTCTCTGCTACACTATGTAGTCAGACGCTTTGGGGATAATTTTACCCCAAAATCACAAACATTGTATCCCTTTCCGAAATTGTTTAGCATACATAATAAGGGATCAACAATCTTTGAATCAGACGCACCCATACTTAGCAATGGAGCGTCGAATTTAAAAAAACAAAAAATCACAACAAACGCACTGTAGCGGATGACACTGGGCTGTCCTGCAAATGTCTTTGAAATAATTGCATTCGTGTGATCTGCTAGTTTTCTATGTGTTTTAAAGCCTTGTATTCTTGTGATTGTTCGGTAGTTTCATTCCCTTAGTTTATTCGAATGAAACTACCGAACAACCAGACCTCCCCTGTGTAAAGTGTGTCCTCAATTACCCGTTGCAACATTGTTGCGAACGGGTAATTGACTAGGAAGTAGCCGTCCTTTGTTCTCGGGGGTGGCCGCCATTCGACAAACGAACACGTGGCGGCGGCCATTTTAAAACTCCCGAACAGCAGTGTTTTGCCGTTGAGTGTCTGGAACTAAAATCGGACACTCGAGTAGGCGAACACCGCTGAGACCTCCACAGCCCTGGTCCGTTCGGTTCCAAACTACCGAACGGCCCCTCGTTCGGTAGATAGAGAATACCGAACGAGGGGATTCAGGCGAACCCTCCCTAGCCTCTATA